TGCACGCCCAAAAGGTCCATGCAGCATCTGAGTTTCGTGGTTAGCGTGAGCTGTACAACAGACTTACTCCAGCACACAAGCAGTACAACATGCACAAAGCAAGTACATGAGCTGCACAGCTGGGGGTCTGCTACGCCTAAACGGTGGCGGGCTGCTGGAAGCCGAGGTCCGACAGCATGCCACTTACCACTCTTGTGAAAAGAAAACTTGTAACTCAAAACTGAGTTGAAACAAAGTTTCAGGCCCGCAACAGCCAAACATAGCAGCATCTGTGCACATGCCATGATGACCACTGCCAGCCTCACAACTAATGGAGCATATAAAACCCCTAGCCAACACAAAGCAGCCAAGGGAGAAGCGGAAAGCTTCTGACGCTAAACCACAAATGTTGCCCATCAAAAAGAAGCGCAACGAACAACTGTACAACTGAAAGGCAGGCCAGTACTCAGAAGGAGACGCAGTTGGAGAGCTCAGGGGACCTCGTGCACAGCGCCACCACAGCAGCCACCGCCAGAAGCAGCAGCCCACAGCAGCGGTGGTAGAAGTCGCCAGACTCGAGCCTCATTGAACGCGGCAATGATGAAGAAGACCGAAGTCAGCCTGTGGAAGCGTCAGGATGACTCGAACCAGAACAAGTGTGCAATGGCCAGTGCGGAAGATGCACAACGGGGCCCACAGAGGCCCACAGTAGCACCGCGCCCCAAGCTGGTCATCATCACGCAGGGGAGGAGCCAGCGACTAGGGCAGTGCAGGACCGGTTCATGAAGGCAAGTGCAATCATGAGGCAGCGAAGCGTCAAGTCAGAGAGACCATGAAGCAAGTGAGAACGGGCAACGACAAGCATGACCTGAACAAAGTGCATGAGCTCGTCAAAGCGCGAACCACCTACTGGAGCTATAGAACCAGCTCCAAAGCACGGGAAAGCGAGGAGGGGGAGGGGCCTAAACCCTAAACAAAGAAGAGGACTAAACCCCTAAAAAAGCAGAACCCAACCTCAGTGCCACGGCACCCAACCTCAGTGCCACGGCGTGCCAGCGAATGCAGACAAACTCCGAAATGGGGTGAGGTTGCAGGCAAAAGCCGGGCAGTGGCGGAACAAGGCGTAGAGCCCAGCTCCATAACACGGGAATGCAGGGATAAGGTCAAAACCCTAGAACAGGGAGCGGGGAAAGGAGCAAAACCCTAAGGTCACAGGCGAGAATGCGAATTGGCCTCCGAAACCTGGAGAATGGTCTCCCGAGGCCGGCGCCCCAAGGTCATCAGGTGTGCATAGTAGGCCTGACCAAATGGCCGCCACCAGGCCTTGCATTCCCACTGCGAAGCCTGTTCAACCCGGCGAGCCCTGGCTTGGCGCAGCGATCCGCGCCATCTTCTCTGCATGCAGGCTCCGGCAGCCTCATCAGCCGCCTGATTGAGAGCACGCAGGTACAGAGGGCAGAAAGGGGGCTCAGGCCGCCAGTTGGGCTTCTTGTCATGGGAAGGAGTCCAAATGAAACAAGTTTCGGTGCCATCCGCACGCAGTTTGCAACAAAGGTCCCTGATGTCACGCAGCCTCAGCGCGTAGTCAAACCCGAGCCGCCTTGAATGGCCTTGATTGCAGCCTCACAGTCCACAACCATGTAAAGGCACTGCCACCTAGGCTGGCCTCGACCTTGCAACGCCTGACATCACACCCCAACAAGTGGCTTGCAGCGCCATCCAGATGGCATCAAGCTCAGCACGGAAGGGGGACTGGTCCTCAAGATCATCGCCGCAGGTCGAGCCGTCGGTCGCCACGTAGAGAGAGGGTTCTGAGGCAAAGCCAAGGATGGCCTCCGAGAGCTGCTCCCGAAAGTCAGCCAAGTCCAGCGCGACCGGAGCCGGCGGGTAGTAGCCCACCTCCCTGGCACAAAGGCGCTCCTCCGCGGTGTTCACAGGCAAGGGCACCCCTTCCCGCAACTCCCTGAACACTTGGCGCGGGTGCGCCAAGCCAAACTCTCCTCCAGCGTTGAGGTGCCAGTTAGTGTTGCCCGCCCCAAAGGCTGCCAGCGCCAGGTATCGGTCACCCCCGGCCGAGGCAAAAGTGAGCCTATGCCCAGCAAACTCGTACACAGCATCAGGAGCCGGAGCCGAAAGGCGAAGTCCAACGGCCAAGCCCTCTTCGTCCCGCCTGGCAGGATGCCACACTCTGCCGGTCTTCCGCAAGTACAGTTGCCTGTAATGCTGACGCAGCCAGTCCACCAGGCACCGAAGAACCTCATCACGTTTGAGGATGGTCCTGGAGTCCTCAGACAGCCACCAGCCCAAGTGCTGCAGCGTGGCAGACAGGCGAGGAAGGGCACGAAGAACATACCCCCGCAGCTCCGAAATGGGCAGCAACTCAGTCCAGCTCTTAGGGCTGACAACGGCACGCCAGAAAGTCCGAAGGGCGGCACAGCCCATACTGAAACTGGGCTCCAGCTGCCAACCCGCCACCTCATAAAGGAGCACAGCCGCCGCGTCCCTGCCCGCACTTGCCTGAAACACATGCCTGAGTTCATTGCGCAGAGTCACAAGCTCCCCAGCCTCAGGAGAGGCATAGGCAGCAGCCCAAGTGAAGCATGGCAAGATCAGGGACCTGAAAAGTTTACAGGCCTGTGGAGCTCCGAGATCAACACACCGGAGGAGGCGAAGTCGAAGAGTGACCCTCCGTAACGAGAAGCGGAGCAGTCCCCATTTATCCTGAAAGTGGGCACAAACACCAAGGGATTCCAACACCTGAGTATGCTTATAACCAAGGTCGGCAGCAAGGAACCTGGCTTCACAAGAATCTGCGGCTGCAACAACTGCACACTTGGGAAGCGACACCTCAAGACTAAACGCCCGGTCAAAGGCATCAGACCTGTGCACTGCGGCGCGAAGGTGCTCAAATGACCCCCCAGCCCTAAGCAGCAAGGTGCGGTCATCAACGTACCCATAGCCGGACACCGAACTGTGCAACGACTCCGATGCTCCAAGAACATAGCAGGCCCAGGCGTGGGTCACTGAGGCGGAGATCAAGGGGCTCAAAGGGCAACCTTGGGCACTCCACGGGTCGGGCGACCCCAAGCCAAACTGAGGGCACCACTGAAAGAGAAAAGGCGCATGCTGCCAGCACAAGCGGCACTAAAGAGCCGCACAAAGCACTCCGGAGCGCCTAAATGGCGTAGGACCTTGGCAGTGAGGGCGTGATCCAGAGAGTCGAAGTAACCGGCCACATCCTGCTGCACCGCGGCCCGGCAGCCACGCGAGATCTCCCAATGGAGCTGTTGGAGAGCATCATCCACAGAAGAAGCCGGAACGCCCCCAACATCAAAGCCTTGTTTCCATGCAGCGCACCATGGGAACGTTGACCAACTTGGCCCCTGCACGCCAAATGATGGGCAGGATGGTGATCGGGCGTGACTTCCCATTGGGCTTGGGAACCAAACAGGTCCTCCCTGCAAGCCAGATCTGAGGAATCTTTTGAGTAGCCATGACAGCAGACCACAGCTTGGCAACGTGCTGCCACCAACGCTGCGGCATGTAAAGCAGCAGGTCGGCAGACCAACAGTCCGGACCCGGACCACGAATGCGCATGGTGGCCGTGGCGGCCCGAAGAGCAGACGCCTCAAAGCAGAACGGGACAGCCTGCAAAATGGAATCAACGACCCTTGCATCACCACAAGGACGAGCAGTCCACTTGGCAAGCCAATCCTTAGAATGCTTGTCAACCTCCAACGCAGGATGATGGCCAGAGGAGGGGATCCGCTGAGACTCCTCCGAGGACTCCCACGCCAGAATGGCCTCGGCCCGCCGCTTGACAAAGTTGCGAACCGCCCCCGCATTGCTGCGCATCCTTTCCTTCCAATGAGCCTTAGCAACAGCCCGCTCATGTTTGGAGTAGGCCTGCACAAGCCCCGACACCTCCTGGAGCATGGCCTCACCTATGTGCTCAAAATAAGGCAACACGAAGGGAACGGCAAATCCGACGCCTAACGGGCTCATCCCAGGCACGATCCAAGGCAACACGCAATCGAGCTTGCAACTGCAGAAGGGCCCGGAGACCCTCGGAGCGCACAGGGTTCTTGCCTAGCTTGGACGCGGGCTTAGGCGCAGAGGGTTGCCAACTGGACTCGTCCTGATCACACAAGAGGTCCTCAGCCACATCGGACAACAGCCTCCAAGCAACATCCGTGTCCCCAGCAGCCAGGGCATGCTCGAAGGCAGAGTCCGCCCAAGACTCGAAGGCCCGATCGACCTCACTACGAGAAAGATCAGCCTTACTTGCGCCTGCGGGGGCGCCTGCGGAGAAGCGGCTGAGTCGCGTCATACTCATACGCAACAACAAGGTGGTCGGAAGGGCCCTCATGATGCCAAACCTGAAGGGCCGGGAATTGGCAATGCTGAACCGCAAAGTCAATCCTGCGACGGCAGCTGCCCTGATAAACCGGACCCGTG